CCATTGTACATGAAAAGCAGATCCCTCCTTAATCTCCTAATCAACGTGACATGTTCAAATTTAGTAGCCTTGTCTCATAGCTCTGGTCCTCCATTCCCCTAATTAGTTTGGTTGCCCTCCGCTGGACTCTTTCCAGCTCAAAGGCATCTTTTCTTAGTACTGGTGACCAAAACTGGACCGCGTACTCCAGATGAGGCCGAACCAATGATCTGTAAAGTGGCAAAATTATAGACTTGTCCCTGCAATACATCCCCTTCTTAATACAAGACAGGACTCTACGATTCAGTTTGTGGTCTACAACCCCCAAATCTTTTTCTATTTCTGACTTCCCTAGCGGCATACCCATAATTGTATAACCCATTTGCTTATTTTTAATCCCAAAGTGCATTGCTTTGCATTTATCGACATTAAACCTCATCTGCCATGTATTTGCTCACTCCCCTTTTTTATCCAGGTCCTCCTGTAATGTTATACTGTCTAAACATTACAGGAGGACCTGGATAAAACATTACATTACTGTCTAAACATGCGCTGCATTCAGATCTGTAACACAGGTCAGAGGCCAGTGTGCTTTGAAAGCTTGCGCTACCAACTATATGGCCAATGTAAATCTAAAAAACTTATTTGAAATATGGACCAATGGCTTATGAGAAAATGAGGTTGTTTTTTTTTGTTATCCGTGAATAAAATATTACGGTACAAACGAATATTGGCCTGTTGAATGAGTTCTGCCTTTGATCGTGGTATTTGTGGGCACTGTCACACCATCTCTGGCAGTGTATATTTTATATAATGTTAAAAGAAAATTTAAATCTGACCTCCAGCCTTCTCTTTTAGTTTTTCACAGTTGTACCGGCTCCTCTGCTGGACTGAAATTGCTTACTCAAATTCCACTGCACGCTGTGAGCGTCACATAATGTGCATTAGAAGCTGCAGCAACTGGGGCAGACCTAGTGCATTACTGTAAACAAAACCAGGGTAATGGATAGACATAAGAAATTCATTCCGTAGCTTCTAAGAGTTTGCAGGTCGAGCAACGAGGCTCCCTCCCTCCCTCCCTGACAAACATCAGATGACCTTCGGGAATACAGATGAATTTAAATCGCGTTGTTTACCCTTATCTTCAGAAAAAAATCACTTCTACTGTCGTGGTAAACAACCGGCTTCCCTATTTATAATGGTCTGGCTCTCTAGCAACTTCAGCGCCAAATTATAGCTAATTTGCCTACAAACGTCAGGTGGTCATAATAATCTGGCCACTCAGTGTATGTCCCAATGATATAACAGATATGATGATATGATATAACATATATAACAGATATGTCACACATCAGCTCTATAGTTTGGGATGAATGTATTTCAATCATTCCAATATGTCTCCTTTAAAGTTGAACTCTGGGCACATAAACTCATTTAATCATAGCCACTGTTTTTTCTGCCTCCTCTTGTTAGGTTTTTTTTTTTTTGTACAAGCAAAGATAATATGTTTGATATGATCAATGAAAAGCTCGGATTATACACTATCCGCCACTTTCTGGGACTGGAAACTAATTTAATTAGAAAGCAACTAATGCAAATGAAGGAATTAAACCCCCCCCCCAAAGCTCCTCCTCCTCTGACGGCTAAAAATAGAGCGGAGTTTCTCGAAATCCGTTATTAAGCTGATTGCTCTGGTGCTGCAGCACATGCCGTGTCCCTGATAGACTCTGTGCTGAGTCTGCAGCAAGTTATTTCACTGGTTTGCTTTCTTTTTCTTTTTAATTTTGACCAAACATGAAGAAGCCCATGTGGTCACATTATACAGAAAAGGACATGAAAGCAGTCCTAAAATATACTTTATGGGCTTCATTGTTTTATTGATTTTTACAGACATTATTTACAGAAGATTACCCCTCTTCTGTTGTTTTGATGACGTCTTCAAATTTTGGGGTTTTTCCCTCGCTTTCAGTCCTTGTGATGTGCTCCCCAGTACAAATAGAGAGTGTTGCAACACTGGCAGTATTAAAAAGAAAAAAGCAACAACCTGACATGTTCTAACCTCGGCTGGTACCACTCTATCCCAAACTAAGAAGGAAGTTCTGGTCTTACATACACTTTAAAATTCAATAATTCCTTCAAAAATTCATAGTGGTAAAGTAACAATGCAAACATTAAGTAAGGTAGTATTCATCAAAATACGTTTATTTTTAGATCCGAATAAATCTGCTTGCCATGTTCAATGACCACCATCAAACACCCGCAAGCAGAGGTGCTCCTCATGGCTACACACCAACACACACACATATGGAAATATAGAGCTCCTTTAAAGGATAAGTTCACCTTTTGCCAAAATCAAAGAAATGCATAAATAATATATAAAAAAATATGCATTTCTTTAATATTTGCATTCAAGCCTGGAGCATTGCAATTACAGCTGCAAAGCTCAGACTTCTGAACATTCTTACCCAGGCAGAGCTCGTACTGAGGTACAGACTTTCAGTTAGGAGAAATGGGGAAGGACGGCTGGACTTCAAACTGCATTAAATCACCTCATACAGCGTCCAGTCCTCTTGCTGTAGGTAGAGGTAGAGCGGCCCATATTCCCAAATCTACCTAGAGTGAGGACAGCTGGACGCCGTATGAGGTGATTTAATGCAGTTTGAAGTCCAGCCGTCCTTCCCCATTTCTCCTGACTGAAACTGCGTACGAGCTCTGCCGAGGAGAGAATGTGCAGAACTCTGAGCTTTGCAGCTTTGATCGAGTGATCACAATTGCAATGCTTTCCAGGCTTGAATGCAAATATTAAAGAAATGCATATTTTTGTATATATTTCTAATTATGCATTTCTTTAATTTTTGCACAAGGTGAACTTATCCTTTAAGACTTTTCAACCCACTTCTTGGCTTCCATACCATTAGAGATGTGAGTGTCATCTCATACTTTCACCTGCTGATGGTTCCTTGTCTGGAGCCTTCTTCTGTACACCTCTCCAACAGTGCATGGGGGCAGTTAACGGATTACTAAAACTGGATTGTGTAAAAGCCTTGAGTTTAATGCCTATAAAGCCTACCACTTGTGAATGCACAACATATTTCACCTAATACCCTAAAACCCTAGGTCAGGGTTTAGGGTCAAGGTTTACACGTCGGGCATCTCGCCGCGAGGTGAATGTAATTTATTGGTGTGATTGTACTGTATTGCTATGTAGTGTTTATGCCCTGCGTCACACTACAGGGTAAAATGTGCACTTAATGTCTATTTTGTATATTTTATTCTATAAATAAAGTATATTTTTCAATCAAAACAAAAAACATGTTTCACGCTATACAGACTTCATCAGGAGTTTATTTGTAGGATCAGCTATTAAGTGATATCCCCAAGCAATTATCAGCTCAGGTGCCACTCATGTAATAGGAAAATATTACTGATAGAAACATGAAACCTGCCTTTGCTGACCTATTTCTGAGCATGTTAGATGTTTGACTCAAAACAAACAAGCAGATTAGAATGAAGACCCAAAGGTCTGAAAAGAAAGGGAGCATTGACAGCTGGAAGTATGGCTGGTTTGTACACGTAGATGCAAGATATCCTCTTGTTTCCCCCTTCAATTTTGATTAATAATGCTACACAACAGATTATCATTGACTGTGTGGTCTGGTTGTTGGTGTGAAACTGTAGGGAGTATTTAGTATTGTGTAAGGGGTGGGATCTCTGACCCTGAAGCTGCCCAGCCACCCCACCTGCTCTTCCTGTTTCAAGTTGGTCATGGCTTTATTGGTGGAGTTTATCTTGCCAGCATTTAAATGGTTCTGGCTTATTAGCCCTCTGATTTTTCGTTAGTCAGATGATGTTCTAATAACTGGGTGCTCACATTCTACCTGTGACTTGCACGTTCTTATTAAACTCATTGGGGGGAATTTATCAAAGAAATTGCGACAGTTTTAGCCTCTTAGATCATTTTTTTTCATGTGCAAATCTGTCTTTTAACATGGTCCCTGTTTTCACCTGAGCTTGCACTACTTTTCCAACTGCACATGTTTTCCACCTGTTTTGACCAAAGCTTGCACCTGTTTTCATCTGCACTTGTTCTGGGGTTGTCTGAAACTGGAGCATCACCTAAGAAAACAATCACAACTTAAGAAGTCCCCATGACCACTTCTTCAAGAAGCGACAGTTAAGCTTTTTGCCTGAAGTTACAAGTCTTCTTTCCTGGAGTCTATCAAACCTCATTTAACAACAACATTACACTAGCATCATAAATCTGGTGCAAATATATTGCGTGCAAGTTCAAACACTTACAATTGCTATGATAAATTCCCCCATTGTGTTGGCTTACTTCATATTTGTATAAAATTCTGTGAACACAAATAAAGCCATATCCTTAGAGCCTTACCCTTCCAAACAGAGATTGCATTGTGTATCATTTGGCCTGGGCCAACCTTCTTCACAAAATAATTTTCATGGTTGCCCTAAGCCTATGGGTCTCAGCAGTCAGGTCACCCAAGTCAAAACTCCTGGTCTTCATACATGTTACAGGTATCCGATGTGGGTAGAATCGAAGAAATTAGATCCACATGAGAGCCAGACATCTACCCTTTTTAAAAAGGTCAGCAATGGAAGGCTGAATATACCTCTCACGGCTTTTATTTAATTGCCACCTAAAATCTCTTCCCTGTGGAAAACATACGAACCCATACTTTGTTTGTATCATATAAATACACTCTCGTTGCATCACATGCAGACTGATAGGAAATTAGCTTAAGGTTTTATTATGGAAAGTAGGCAGCTGCATCTAATGATTTTTGAAGTAATCTGAACCATCTGCCTCCGTGGACGAAACAGTTCACCCGCTAATCCAGATTATGGCTGACAAACCATTTTTGGCATATAGTTCCCAGTAACAGTGTGCCCTTGACGAGCTCAAACTGCTGCAGACCTTTTTCTCCTGCCTGACTTCCCAGCCTGGGTCCTGCTCCCAGCTGATTCCCTCTGCTACTTTGTATGTTTGGATAGACAGCAACATGGCCTTCCTGCTGAAGGGAATGGTAAGCAGTCAACTGAAGAGTTTTGGACTGGGGGACACTAGTGAAGAGAAGAAGGAAGGGAGTGAAGCTTCTGACCCGGCAGCAGCAGCAGGAATGACCCGTGAAGAGTATGAGGAGTACCAGAGGCAGCTGCTAGAGGAGAAGTGAGTATTTTATATTTTCTTGTCCGTACCACTTCAACTGGGCCTCAGCCAAAGGGCACATTCACGGTACCCTTGTGGCGAGACCTGATAGATGTTCCCTAACTTCTAAGGAAAGTCCTTGTTCTTCAATATTTGTCTCTGGAAATGTCCATGATTTGCAACACTGACCCCCGTACCACAAAATTCCCTTGGTGTTTTTTTTTACGTGACAAAGCTTTGTTGTCTACTAATGCCTCTTCTGATTTTTGAACCTAGTTGCATATTAAAAAAGAACATTTTACATTGATACAACAAAAGGAATGTTTAATTTAGTTAACATGTACTAACTGGATTCATGCATGACCCCCAAAGTGAAGGCTCGTGATCTGTGACAGTGATCTCCATGATGTGCCTCAACATGCTAGCTAACCAGCAAAATGTATTTGGAAATAATTATAAGGTATTAGCAGATATGCTATGGCCTTATAAAGCACGTTGGCAGTCTAAATAACGGGGAGTACTTTGATGGCCATTAATAAATTAATTTACTGGCTGAGTAGATTAAAACTGCACACGTCCAGCCAGCTTGTGTTTTTATACCTTGCCTGAACAGGAAAGATGAGTAATGAAAGCTTGTTATTTTCAGCCAACAAAAGAAAGTATTTCAGCTCACAATTCTTTGCTAGAGATGTTTGAGAAAAGTGTTCTTGAAGTATAAAGTAACACAATGGCATTTATGGTAACACAATGTTCAGAAAAGCAAAAAGGGTAATTGTTTATTTTTACCATGAAGGGTACAAATGTTTACAGTTTGCTCAGCCGTTCAGATTAACCTGTTCTGTTTGTACACACTTTGTATTACACCGTAAAGTGTACCTGTATCGAAAATTACATTATTGAATTGTCTTTTCTTTAAGAAGCAACAAAATCCAGGACAAAGCTGAGTCTTGAAAGCCTACAATGCAATTACTAAGTTTAAACTAGGAAGACGGTACTGTGTCCTTCCTCCTGAAGCTTCTCAAGCCTCCTTATTGGTCCATCAGCATGAAAAGTGGAAGGGGGCAGGCCACCAGTACCAATTTCCTAACTGAACTGTGGAAATGCCTGTTTCAATCAGCTAGATTACTTAGGCCGGTTTAAATACAGGTTCAATTAGGATGTATACAAATCTAGAGCTTTAAACAGATACTAATTGGAACACCACCATGGAAAACATTGCATGCAGTGCATTTTATGTGAACATTGGTGCTGGAACATACCTTCATCTTAACAACAGAATCAATGCAAAGCGTGGCTGAAAACTTTGCATTCAACAAGTTTTGTTTTGTCCAGTGGTATTCCAGGACTGCCTTTAGCAGTCTTAGGCATTCCAGAGATTAATAAAAACCAGATACAGTTATATCTCAGATACAGTCAGACAGACATTGTACCAGCAGCTTCCATTTTTGAAGTTTTACCTTCACTTCCATTTTACATTAGTTGTGTAGGGTGTGTTAATATGACAGAACCAGAGTTAGTCCAGTGAACTCGGCAATCAGCACTGAGAAACAGACCAGCTCAGACACGCCTCCTTTTTGCTGTAATACAAATTTGTGTGAGGACACAGGGGTGTGGCTATTACTCAGCAATGCAAGCACAGGGCACTGGAGGGAGTGGGCAGGAAGCACTCACAAATGGGGATACAGGGCTTTAAAGAGGCATTAAAGGTTTGTGACTTTAATTGGGCATTAAAGTAAACCTGTCGCAAAGTTGCACAATCTAAACTGAGCATATGATGTAAAAAAATGCATATGCAGTGGGCACCTTATTTCAAAATAATCAGTAGATTCACAAATATAGGCAGCTGATACTATAGAATTTACTTATAGGGGAATACTTTTTTTTAATATTAGTTTTCTTTATTTATGAATCTTTAAAAGAGAATTACGGGGTAAGTGTTTTTCCCCATAGTTCTCTTTAGGGTCACTAACCTCTTCCTGTGACCCAAAGCTCAGTATATAGCGAGCTATTCGCCGCGATATACTGAGCGCGACACAGACGGGATGGATCCCGACAATACTGTCGAGATCCACCCAGCTGTGTGAGTGACAGCTGGCTCTGCCTATATAGAGGCAGAGCCAGCTGTGCCCGCCCCCTCCCCCATCCGTTCCGCCAGTCAGCGCTAGAGTATCGGAGAGTAGAGGGTGGTAACTGACAGTCACCGCTCACTGCAGGAAGCTGATCGGGAAGTGAGCGGATCGGCAGCATGTTTCTGCTCACTTCCCGATCAATAGATCCGACCTGTCTAACTGTGAGGATGAGTGGAAATCTCTCACCTCATAGTTCTCCTTTAAGTTTGTTATCCCATGTTTAAAAATGTGCATGCACTAAAGCTGCAAGTCTGCACCGCACTACAGATTCAGGTGGCCATAGACACTAGAAGGCTGGAGGGGCAAGAGAAATTTAAATGGGTCAATAAGCTCATGCAGCATTTTAATTGCGAGCTACCCAGGTTTTTTTGAACATGCGCGGACACAAAAAAATGCGCATTTTACCGGCTGCATTTGGTCTGGCAGCTGGAACCAACAGGTAGGAGAACCTATTTCAATATTCAGCGGCTCCTTCGGGGGTGAGCGCTACAGTATCATTAACAATTACTGGCGCCACAAGCGTGTCACACATTTCTGACGCATTACGTGAAAGCGTGAATGGGGACTTAAAGGGGAAATAAACCAACTGATTTACAGTAACTGTCTTCAATAAATGGTATTACATTTATAGATACAAATGTTATTTTCTGCAGTGTTTTTCTCTTTACATTCTGCCTGCTAGCTCATATATCCTGTATGTTACATTCAAGACATGACTTGCCTGTGATAACCGTCACAGTTGCCAGGGTGTTTATGCCATCTCTCAACTGACCCCTTAGGCCCTCAAATGGCTGTTATCAGCCTGGGGTCCAGTGTGGGCTGCTGTGCTGTGCTGGAGCTCCATCCATATGTGCATTGCTTGTACAGCTCCCTTGCACAACCTGTAGAGGTGTAGTCTCAACTAGACATGTGCGATACGTTTCGTTCCGAATCGAAATTCGGAGATTCGGATGCATCCGATTTCCGAATTACAGCTAAAACTAATGCAAACGAATCCGAATATCCGATTTCGTTAGCGGTAGTCCGGTTGAAATTTCGCTTTTAGACAAATTTTCGTGTTTTTTAGCGGTAGTCAGGTCGCAATTTCGTTTATGTTTCGTTCGTTGCAGCAAAATGACATTAGGAAAAAAAATAATCTAATTTTTTTTAGTTTGCAGAAGATGAAATGGGGGGGGGAGACGTGGGGTCCCCCCTAACAGTCCTACCAGACCCTTGATTCGAGCACTGGCAGGGCAGGAAAGAGGGGGGCGATCGAGCGCCCCCCCTCCCTGCGCCTCACCAGGCCACGTGCCCTCGGCATTGGGAGGGTGTCCCCATGCCGATGGGTACAAGGGCAAGCTGCGGGCAAGGGAGCTTATTTGCATCGGGGTACCCGTTTAAATAAGGGGGCACCCAGATGCCGCTTCACCTTGTGAATGAGTAAGCGGTACTTTCACTAAAGGGTTAAATCAAATAGTAAAAAGTCACACCACCTCAAGCTGACACTCCGCACCAGGCAGCACATTTTGTATGGCTCCTTAACGTGAGAACTGACAGTGCTGTGCTAGACGCTGAGGAGCCTCTTACTTAGAAAAGTGGAAGGCATGCGGTTACCCACTAAATACAGGGTTGGGACCCACTTTTGGGTCATGACCCACCAGTTGAGAGCCAAGGCTCTAGAAGCTCCATCCTTACAGGATAAGGGGGTCTAGTTCTTTTTAAAAGCCCATCGCACCCTTAAAAACGCCAAAAAACAAGTTATTTTGCCTTGTCCACTTACTTCAATGCATTTCACTGACATCTCCCTATTTTGTGCAAGTGAGCACTTCCAATTTAACTCATGCCTAAACATCACATTGCCTCTGGTGAGGTTCTTTCAAAGGACTTTCCTTTGACCAGATATAGGCCGGTACTTGGTGAAATAAAAATCGATTGAAAAGGACACGCTGGTGGTGTTTTTATCATTCCTTAGATATCCAAGAAACTTCTTCATGAATGCTCTTTGACAACAATAGCATCACAATGACAATTTTTTTCATGACCTTGTTGAATATAACAATGCTCTCTGAGCATCTCTGATGTTCAAGGCTGCCCATCAATCACTGGCTGTTTAAAGGAGAACTATGAGGGAAGTGCTTTTCACTCATCCTCATAGTTCTAGCCGACCTGTGACAAGGTGAGCGAACACATACAGGCGTTCACTCACCTCTCGATCCTGTCGCAGCTCTCTGCCTTGACAGGGGAGGCTGGATTCCCCCCTCCCCGATCCGCCAGCGCTGACTGGCGGATCGAACGGGGCGGGTACAACTGGCTCTGCCTCTAGAAAGGCAGAGTCAGCTTTCACTCACGCAGCTGGGCGGATCCAGACATAATTGTCGGGGTCCGCTTCAGCTGCGACGTCTCAGTATACCGCGAGCAGTAGCTCGCGGTGTACTGTGGCGTCTCAGTATATATGCTTAGGGTGACGGGAGGATGCTAGTTTGTGTCCTTCAGTTACCCTAAGGAAAACATATTCATTGAGCCGTTCATTGTGATGAGCTACTGTTGCCTTGATGTGTTATCACATACTAGCACCGTCTGTAGTGTAATTTCAGCCGCTTTAAGTAAATCTTTACTGGAGGAGTGCTTTTATTCGTTGTTAGTTGACAATGCCAAACCAGACATTGTTCAGATGTTGAGTTGTAGTGCAGACGAGAGGCTTTGTAAGAAGTGCATATTCACAGTGCTGAGTGAAATTGTGTCAGTGCATCGAGGGAGTACATCCTATGGACATCTTCAATAAGTAAGTTTACAAACTTCTAGATGAATATAGTTTTGGGGAGTGGGATAGAACTTAAGGAATCCAATATTCCTTGGAGGATAAGGGGGTTTAGTTCTGTTTTAAAACCAACGGCACCCTTAAAAACCACCAAAACCTTGTTATTTTGCCTTGTCAATTGACTTCAAAGCATTTGACCAAAATGGCAGAATTTCACTGAAATGTCCCTATTTTGGCGAAGTGAACACTTTTTCAATTCAACTCATCCCCACACATCACTAGTAAGGTTAGATGCTAACTCCAAGTGCCATCATAAGCACAGAAGGAATCACATTCCCTCCTATGAGGTTGTTTCAAAGGACTTTTCTTTCACTAGATATAGGGCGGTACTTGGGGAAATAAAAATCATTTAAAAAAGACCCGCTGGTGGTGCTCGTCATTCCTTAGATATTCCTTAGAGGGAAGAAACTTCTTCATGAATGCTCTTCAACAACAGTAGCACCACAATGACAATTTTTCATGACCTTGTTGAATGTAAAAATGCTCCCTGAGCCATGTTCAAGGCTGCCCATCAATCAATGGCTGTTTAAGGTAGGCCATTCATTGTGATGAGATACAGTTGACTTGGTGTGTTATCACATGCTAGCACCGTCTGAAGTGTGCTTTCAGCCACTTTAATTAAATCTTTGCTGGAGGAGTGCTTTTCTTCCATGTTAATTAACAATGCCAAACCAGACTACTTGAGTACATCTATAGTATAGAAGAGGAGAGATCTATGATCAGCAAAAGATGCTACTTTTCAAGGCAACCTCCAATTTGATCAAAGCCCATCTACAGCAGGGCTGTTAAATTATTTATACCGGAGATAGGGGGGGTTCAGCATTAGGCACCCAGAGGAGAATAAGTACCCACACCCACAGGAATTAAACAAAGGAACAGGAAAGGCTCAGGACTTGAACATTATGACTGTGGCTTTAGGCAAATTAAAATGGCATAAGACAGTTTTGTTTTTTCTTTAACTGAAGTGATCAGTTAAAGGTGTCACTGGACACTGGCCAAAGCATCCCAGCTCTTGGCTACCAGTGGACGCTGGCCAGAGCATCCTAGGTTGCTACGAGCTGGGCGGGATGTGTATGACCCTTACACATCTCCCCGCCTGGCTCTTTGACACCTGGGACTCTCTGGCCTGAAAGGGGGCAGCAGGCATACTGCAAACATTGTGCAGCAAAATGCGGCCATGCCGCTCTGTGTGCCATCCCCCCACGTGAGCCAAAGGGATGCTTCCTGAGACAACAGCCTCAGGCTGCCAAAGTTTAGGGATGGTCTGCCAAGTGTCGGCTTTCCAGAAGACTGTGGAGGATGAGAACTCGTGACTGGAGCGGTGTTTGTTGGAGTGAGCACTGGGCAGAGTGCTTACTGCTTTACAGATAAAAGCAGTTTTCATAGTTTTTCATGGCAGGGTTGCTTTAAGTTTAGGAGTTACGTTTAGTGGTTAAAGAATAGCTAACCCCAAGAACAAAATGTAACATATTGCAACCATAGCAGTCCATGGGGCCTGGGGTAGGAGAGGGCCCGCTTGGAGCTACAGGAACCAGAAGAGAAAATCTCTCTATTTTGTCCTTTGCACTGCTAATATTTATTTTCATGGACCCAGCCACACCCTCACTCTCCACCTCTAGTGCCCATTCACACTATGTCCAGATCAGATCTGGTAGATTATATTTTTCTTCCCAAAAATGCATCCTAATGTTGTGCATGCTGCATGCGCTATTTTTTCAGATCGCACTGCACTGGAATGGAGGGCATTCCTCTACCTCGCATTCTGGTGCAGGCGATTGCACTTCAGGTGGGAGCCATGTCTGCGGTGCCATTGACATGAAAGGCACCGACATGCCCCTCCTGTCCCAGAACGTGGCCCAGCTTCATGTATGCAATCCAGTGCATTCCAGGCGCGAACTGCATCGGGACACACTGGATATGGTGTGACTGGGCCCTGACTCACCAGAGCCAGCAGCGGGCACTTGCTGGCAAAGAAACGAATGATCAATGTATGGATATTCAGCCTCTGCTATGAGCTGCAACAATGTATTAAATTCTATATAAAACAGTTGCTTAAAAGTAAAGTGACAACTTGAAATACATAATGAAACATTTAAAAATAATAAAACATTCCTAAATAATAGAAAGTCATATACTCTATTAAATAGTCTCGAACATACTGTATATTGAAGGAGGTTGCTACCAGAGGTAACTACGCACTGTGACACTACTGAAACCAGGGTGCCATCCATAAATTCCAATGACAACAATGTCGTAAATAAAAAAATTTCCTGAGTCCCAAAATATGACTTAGAAATCTTTTATTAGTGTGCCCAGAAAAAGGAGAGGCTTAATTTCTAAGTCTATTCGACTCGAGAAGAAAACCTTGCATTGCTGTCATGGGACCTCGGGAAGAGAGCCGCCATATCGTATCAACATAATATAAAATATTATTATTATTATTCATTTAATAATAATATTGCAGCTACTACTTTTTTTTTCTTTGCTAACTAATACATCATGGCGTTCAACATTTGCTTGCTGTGGTGGTGGAAGAGGTGGATGGACTTCGCATTTACACCAATTAGGGGCCGTTCTTATGCCCCTTAACAGACCAGTGAATGTAGAAAAATGACTGGTGAGGACAGAGTAGTTAGCTGGAAAATGAAGGTTATAAAAACATTCCCTGCACTACTGTCCCTAGTAGTGTGCTGACTATGCTGACAGCTCTCCGGCTGTCCTTGATGTAGGCATTCTTTATGTGAACACCATTGTCAGCAGGTGCCATAGAGAAAGGCCATGGGGAAGAGGTGTAGGGTGCTATTGTGTACTATGACCGGTAGCTACATCCATGATTGCAGATCCCAGACCTTCAGAAAAAGGTCGTTTTCATTTTTTAGGATAAGAATATTTATATCCATGTCACTTCCTTTGAGATGAACTGAAAGAACAAACAATCTGATAACTACTAATCTCCTAACATAATGGAGATGAACAAAGGCAAGCATATTTGTCAGGTCACAACAATGGCTCCCTCCATAGATGCAATGGAGAAGTCAGCATGGCCACCCAGGGACAGGAAGTTTGTTGTTTGCAGGATGACCAGCTGGAAAAAAGGAAACTAACACAGACTCATCTAATGAATTGTAAGCTGCATTATATATTACAATTTAGTTTTTAGAATTAGATACACTTTAATGTTACGTATTGTGTGTTAGGGGTTAGGCTAAGAGTTAGGTTTAATTGTAGTGATATCCTTAGCGGTTCCTTTAATTAAAACACACAGGGTTTGTTTGAAGCTAAGGGTATAGTGTTAAAGTGGGTTGAGAAGAAACTCATTTTTCAGTGTGATTTCCTTTTTTTTTTTGGTTTTAATTTGTAAATGTCACTGGTGGCTGGTGTTTGTGTCAAAAATAATGGCCAAAAATATAATATTTAATATGATATTATCAGTCAATCGGTCCTAAGAAATAGGCGAGTGCCGTTCAGAAGGGACAGGCAATGGCCTCTGTCACCCTCGGCCAATCCAAAGGGAGCCTGGTTCATAACTCGGGGCAACGGAGATGGGCACCTTGAGGCGTCCAATGTGACAACATTAAGTCCGCATACCCATCGCACTCAGATCCGCTGCTCCATCAGATAAGAGGTGCATCAGGTGTCAACAGGTGGCTTCCGTCAAAGTATACAAGTGAAAAGATAGACACCGGCACGCCAAGGCAAATCCATTACATCTGTTTATTCACATACTTGTTGCATATTCAAACACTGAATACAACGTTTCAGGGTCTCACAGGAAATTCTTCATCAGGCAAACACGTGAATAAACAGACGTACTGGATTTGCCTTGGAGTGCCGGTGTCTTTCTTTTCAATTTGACAACATGACTGATCCCAGGAAGCCGGTGGGAGCCTCAGAGAGAGTTCTCTTTTTTTTTGTAAAGGGCAGGAGCTCCAGGAATGGGTTCACCGAGAGAGAGGGGCTCGAGACTTGGCAAGCATCATGGTTCCGGCAGCATCCAATCAGCTCTTGCCGGTCCTTGAAAATCTGGGGGAGAGTGCGTAAATCTTGCGGCGGGCCATACCCATATAAGCGGCAGGTCTCCAAGGTGCATAGCCTCTGGTATGTTAGAACAATGAAGGTAAGGGAAGTTGGCAAGTTGCATCCATAACTTTGGGATAAGGATTGGCTCTGGGGGCTGGGTCAAGTCAGGATGGGGCATGAAGTGGGGCTAGGAGCACACCGCCCCCCACCATCTTCAAACCGGTAATTTTTTAAAGGAAAGGTGTCATTTCCCTTTAAGTTAATTTCTTTCTTTTGATTGGCAGGATGGAAAGAGATGCCGCATTCAACCAGAAGAAAGCGGAAAGAGCCACACTGCGTGTACACTTGCGAGAGAAGTACAGACTGCCGCAGGTAAGCAATATAAACCGGCGCTGTGAAGTGTGCTTCTGATTTGTATGGCCATTCTGGATTACAAGCTTGCTATGGGCTCCGGCTGTTTAGTGAACACATTAAATCCCATCTGAAGTCTCCATTAGAATGGTATAAAGCCAAACTTCAGCTTTCCAGCTGTTCTGGAACTACAAGTCCCATAAGGCATTGCAAGAGTTTGACAGCCACAGGCATGACTTCCAGAGGTGGATGCCTTATGGGATTTGTAGTTTCGCCACAGTTGGAGGGCCAACATTTGGCTACCCCTAGTCTAATTGAAAATGCTTTAGAAAGAAATCAGCGGGCTCCCTGTGCATTCAGCTGCCCATTCAGCTGCTCCCTGTGGTGGTCCAATACACCCCCTCCCCCTTCTGGTTCAGAGCTAGAGCTATGTAATCAGCAATGCTCAAGCTCCCTGCTGATTGAACATCTCTAGCATTGATTTGACAGGGCTCTGTAGCGGTCAGACACGCCCCCGCCAAATCAGAGGTGCTAATGTGCAGCATTAGCACCTCTAAAATAAACAGCAAGGGCTTGGCAAAGTTAATGTGTGGCTGCACCTGAATTTGTGTATGCAATTTTGAATTAGATTACAGCTGGACCTTAAAGTAATATTAAACTTAAAGAATGAATCCATACCAAACAAATACAGTATACATTTCCCAGCAAAGGGTTTCTTTATATTTTTGCCCAAGCACTTACAGTCATTATGTTTCCAAACAGCTCCAACTCTCTCAGCTTGGCTTCCCTGAACTTCCTGTTCCTGTCCTTCAATCTGGAGGGGAGGGACCCCACGCGGTTTTGTTTTTACATTTTCACATTTAACAACATAATAAACTCCATCCAAATAGATTCCAGTTGATCCGTACCGAAAACAAAAAAATCGGATCCATGGGAAGCAGATCCCAATGTTGCCCTAAGCCATTTTTAGCTTACCGGTACTACCTTTATGATGGTCAGTGCTGAGCTTGGCAATCGGTGTAGGAAACTAGACTTGTATCTCCTTTCCTCAATGAGGACTCCATTGTGTAGCACTTGTATGTAAAGAATACATCTAGGAATATTTGCTATCAGACTCCAATGTGGCCATAAGCCATTTTTTAACTTACTACTTCTAGCTGGCAGGAAATTTGGCATAGATAAAACCTGCTACATGCATTTAAACTCCGTGCCAAAAAGCAGCCAACATATATACTTCTAGAATATTGAAACGCTGCTAAGAACCCCCAGCATATACAGGGCCGCATTTACTCCCCCTGCCGCCCCAAGGCCAGGTTCCAAAATACTGCGGATCAGTGGTCTGTGAAGGTGCATTGGGTTACCATTCACATCGCATGGCTCTGTAGCACAAGAAATGTTGACCAGTTTATTTATTTACACTGCTTCATTACAAGTACCTCTTCCACGGCACCATTTATATCTACTTGCCATGAGTGCGCCTGGGAAGGTTTTACTCTTATTTTATTTATTTGCAGTGCCTCTCTCTCTTCTCTTTCTCTCTCCTCTCACTCTCCCCCATAAATCAGGGGGCCAATGATGGAAATGTTAAACTTGCTTTGGTCCAGGAGTTTACAGTTTTAGGTTGAATTGGTTAATTAGTAGAGTGCAAAGGAGGAGTATTTTAACGGTATGTTGTTTTATAGCACAGAGAACTCGCACTGGTATTTGTGAAACAAATTGTTGTCCATTATGGTCTTGACCTTAACCCTAATCTTTAACCTTAAGCTGACCTTAAGCCTACCTTCACCCAAAACTTAAAACCTAATCTAAGTGCTAAAAATAAACCTTAACATGCAGCCTCCACCCTCCAGCTTAACCATTACCTAATCCAGCAAATTAACCTTTGACCTTAAAGCCTTACTCCAGCCAAATCTGTCTCTGGGAGTGGGTGTGTGGATCACAAAGCCTCTAACCCTTCCACACCCAACTGCCAAACTTCCGCCCTCTGGCTGTGCAACTCGGGGGCATCCCAAGGACGGGTGTCACCCAGGATCGGGGACTGGGTGACAACCCGCCATGACGTCATCGCGCATGCGTGGCTATCCAATTGACGCCCACCGGCCGCCAACTTGGTAATGGACGCCGGAAGAGAGAGGTGGGGATGTTCACTCAGTGGGGTGAGGTATGCTGCCGGGTCCCCTCCTCTCTCCTGACATTGTCGGGCTCTCTGTCCGTGACCGAGTGCCCGACTTTTTTAGAGGGGTGACACCAAAATCACTGTCAGTGGCTGCATCCCCCACAACCCCCTTGTGACCCCACTGGTGCAACTACAAACTTCTTAAGACATTGCAACATTCTGACAGCGGCAGGCATGACTTTCAGAGGCAGATGCATGAAGGAATTTGTAGTTTCACCACAGTTGGAGGGACGAAGTTTTGGTTCCCTTGCTTTAAACCAACCTCACAGTCACCTATACTATTTACTAAGAAGGCAGGCTTGTAACTCAACCTTTCACTTCCTCCTCCCCTAAAAAATACCCACACAAAATTATCATTGTCTGTATTTTTCGGAAGCTCACCACTCATGCTAAGAGTTCTCATTTCTAGTGAGTCCTTCACTAACTCTTTAACACCTAACCCCCTAAACCCTACCTTAAAGTGACACTAAGCTCAGGATTTAAATCCTAAAAATGCATTAAAATTAACTATTATCAAAAATGTATCTTATTTGTGTATCACTCGGCTGTAGATCCTCCAATCATCTCTGAATTGGTGCTGACACTGTCCTTCCTTCTGGAGGGGGGCTACTTTGGTTCCCCATGGTCCCTGAGTTTGTTGTAAAGTAGCCACCACTCCAAGCTCGCTCCAGTGATGGACTACAATCTCACGTTTATTTAGCTAACTTGTATTAAGATTGACGTTCTCTGCTCTGCTCCCCACTCTCCATCCTGAAGAGAGGATCTCTAGCCGGCGGGGGGAGCACGGAAAAGTAGGCTGCATACAAGTGATCTCGGTGACATCGCCAAGATCACTTGTAAATGAACGAGCGGATTTCCCACTCTTAATTTAGCCCTACCTGCCCAAAGCAGGGCTAAATGTAGAAAACAACTACCGACCCGACACCCGGAACTTCATGTCCCGGGCATCGGGAGATAGAAAAACCACACCCCTGACACCCTCTGCTCCCTGCCAGCTCGGTTGGCCCTGTGGGAAATTCAGCCCTGTGTGTACAGTGGCCATGCACTTCAGAAATTTCTAGGCATGTTCACATCAAAAGGAATCTTATCAGGACCATGTTTCATCTGAAGTCATGAGGACCCCAGAAGGCACATTTACCTGCCAGCCATAAAGTTTCATTGAAATGCATTAAAGGCTTCTTCAAAGGCTATGCTAGTTAGTTACCTGTGGCAGCCAACAGTGTTCTTTGTCCTTGAGAGACCCCAGTTCAGTACTGGCATCATTTGAGCCATGATATTATGACAGTATTATGTCATGAACGGCTCAATCTTTGTCAATGTTTATCAGTACCATCAGGAAGGTTGTGGTGACCCCTAGTTGCACTGAAGCAGTACCATTGGAACAGAGCTTGCTGAAGTTACAGCTGAAAAAGGGGTCAATGCATCCGTCACCCACTGGATCAGCAGCTGGTACTCCGTGCCAAACTTGCCAGCAGAGACCGCAGTCCTTTTTGGACATCACATCCAGAGCCTGTAGGGATGAGTGTGCAAGATGCAGGCCTTCCTTAACGTGATATACAGTCAAAAGGTTTTAAAGCTATTTCAAATTCTGATAAAAATCTGATGATGGTTCTTGATTTTTACAAGTTTTAGCTTCCTGCAAAAGTCCCCTGAGCACTGGCCCTGATATCCTGTTTTAGGGTGTCTCCTTTCCCTTGCAAGGCCATATGGAGCCAACCCGTGTGTGCTAGTAAGCTGTGCGTGCCTCCACAAACACACAGTCACAGCAAGGCAAGCCACTACCCTGTTCCTCTCTTCCTTTCTCCCTTCTCACGGTTAGTAGATGAATTGATGCTGAAGAATGTGTTGTCCCTTGTGTTCTTGCATTGGACAGGAATTTCAGGAAAGCCAAACCAAGCTGAGGAGTTGGAGCCAGCTGTTGGGGAAAAATGATGACTGTTAATGCTTGGGCAAAAAATTAAAGATCTCTAGGAAAACATTTTATTAACCCTTGCATTGGGGCTACTCCTGCATTGCAAGGGTTTAATGCTTATTTGTGTGTAGGGATACAAATAACAAAGATATACTCACCCGAAGGTCTGACTCAGCTAGCTGTCAGAGCGCTTCCTACAGCCTTTATCCTCCTCTGGAGCACATTGGAATGTCCCTGAGCGTTCTTACGTCTATCCACAGTGTATAGGCACTGATTTATGGGCCCGTGGACCGCTGCAGAGGAGGGAAGGAGACACAAAAAGGACCGGTCTAAGAAGAAGGCAGCTAGAATTTTTTTTAACCTAGATACAAACGAGCAGTCTACCCTGTCAGTGTGGGGGTAGTCCCACTGCAAGGGTTAATAAAACAATGTCCTTTAAAAAAAAATTATTTGGTAGGCAATTTTGATCTGGATTCATTACCCAAAAATGTTTGAGAGTTTAATAATACTTCAAATGAATTGAAGGCCATAGACATGTTCATAAAGCAATGGTGGCACTCGGCATTCAGACCAACATCTATTGTGTTGAAATTGACACCCATTGACCAACAGGGATCAGGCTTACCACCTTTTCTGTTTCCATTTTCAGTCCTCAGTACTTTTTCTAACTTTTATTTCTTAACATATGTCACAGTATACTCAAATAGTAATAGTAGAACAGCACAAGTAGAATAGAACAGCATGTGAAAACAACTCTTGGGAGGAACTATTTTGCTATTGAGAAATTAAAGTATGAAAATAGCCACATCTGCCTAGGTAACTTTTCTGGAGTGAAGAAGGTGATAGATTGGGACTGGTTGAGGGAGACTTCCATGAAATTACAGTAACCCCACCGCTGATGCTACTATTCTTTCTTGCTGCCCCAAACAATCCTATATAAATGATCTTTTATTTTTTTCCACAGAGTGAAAAGGATGACAACCAAATACAGATGGCTGGAGATGACGTGGAGCTACCAGAGGATCTGCAGAAGATGATGGCTGAAGATCAAGTCGAAGAAGAAGAGAAGAGCTCCTTCATGGGCCACATCCAAAGCATCCAGAATATGGACATGGACACCTTTAAAGAAAAAGCCACAGCCACATTCACTGAGATTAAACAATCGGCGGAAGAAAAGTGTCTGTTGATGTAGTCTTAGCTCAGTCTGGAATCAAATATGTTCTGATAGTTTTGGTTCTATGAGAACCAGTATGGAGAAGTTTGTAATCACCAATATGACCATTTTCTGGTCTGGGCTAAGTGACTTTGACTTTACATTAAATTCATAGCATGATGATAAAGAATCTATGCTGTTGGAACTCATGGGAAAGAAACTCTTAAAATTTCATTTCAGGTTAAGGTGATATAAAATCTTGTATATTATAACATTATTGGAAGAAGGGAACATGCATTATCTTCATTAATATAGTACTATTTATATTTTTATTATAGTATTTAATGGATGGGAACTGAACAGGGGCTGCCAGGGTCCCCATTCAAGTACTCTCATCTGAGCTATTTTCAGGTATGTAGGGTTAGCCAGAGACTGACATAAGTCTCTCCAAGAACAATGGCCAGGAGGGCAGTAGTCCCAGCAAGGTGGAAAATCTGTGTGAGGGGTCCTGTTTATGCCCCAGCATCTTATACAGTCAGAGGTGGGACCCTGGTCAGTTTGTTGCCACTATAAATGGAATTAAATTTAAATAAAAAAGAGGATCTTATTGGCCAGAGGTGATGGAATTACCTGAAGGGGTGATATCTGCCCACTACTGACTGCTAAGTAACTCTGGAAAATAATACTTAACCCTGTAAAGAGTCACTGCAATTTGTCCATCTTTACTGAGTCATTTGATGCTGAGTGCCTGTTATTAAAGGGAATCTGCCGCAGATGGAAGCTCCAATTCTATTACTTCTGTGCTGCATATTAATTATAGGACAGGAAAGTTAGAACCTGTCTGCTTCACTGTATGTCAGGTGATGGATTCCTTTAAAATGAAGCCTACAGCAGCAGATGTTTCAAGTTAAAGCGGACCTTTACACTAAATAATCTAATTCTACCAATGCATCTCTTTATGTATGATGATAATAATAACGCAGACATGTCAGGTGTTAAATGCTGTGATTGTGAAATACTTACACTTGCAGAGAATTCACTTCCGGCTTTGCAAGAGCAAAATGACTTCAGTTTTCCAACGCAATGCGCACTGGTATTGCCTTGTCATCAGCAGAGCATTGCTGGGAAATCTCATCTGTAATCTCAGGAGATCTCAGGGAAAGGCATTTTCCTCCCCTGAGATAATGTGCATGGTCACATGTCCTAGTCACATTTCTAGTCACATGTCTAGTCACATGTGCCAGAAATCCAGGAAGTAAAAGGAGAGCTAGTAATCATGGCCACTGTCAGAAGACTGGGGAAGAAAAGAGGAATAAGGTATGCAAAGAGCACAAAGCCGGCAATCATAGAAGTATGTGTTTGTAGATCGTCTTAACTAAACATTTCTAAAGGTGTGTTTGTTGTTATTTTAAAGATTTGGGTAACGGTCCGCTTTAATTAAAAGCCTGCTTTGTTTCTGCATTTCCCAGAGGTGCATCTCTTGCTTTGTGGGGGATAAAGGCTAATAAAACGTTAAGCACTTCTCTAAATAAAAGGAACATTGCAATCAAGTTGTCTGATCTATAAGTATATTGTTAAAGGGGAACATCACTGATATCTGATTTTGTGTGGATACTGGCAAGTTAAATCACAGACTGGCTTCCTATATTTCTCAAGGATGTCAGTGATAAGATATTCACAGCAGAATTTCAACTTCCACCCGACATCTTCAAATTCTCATTGTGGTGTCACTTTTCCCTGGTGAAGCTGCAGTAATCTTAAATTCAAAGAGTGACGCCCTCCTCATCTGAGTGAAACCAGAAATACAAACTACTGTAGGGAGATCTCTTCCATGGGGTCTCAGCAGAGGCATAGCAGGATCTGGCGTTCCGCAAATGCATCTCCCCACCCGCTCTGGTTGCTGGGAACTGGGCAGGGAGATGTGTATGGCCCTTTACACCCCCCACCCCGCCTAGCTCTTAGCAACCTGGGATGCTCTGGTTGGTATCCCACCCAACTCCTGGTAACCAGTGGTTGCTAGGAGGTGGGCGTGACGCCAGCCAGAGCATCCCTGGTTTCCAAGAGCCAGGCGGGTAGATGTGTATGGGAGAGGTGGGCAGAGAAAAAAAAGACAGTTTGTCTCGGCAAACTTTCACTGACCCGAAGTGGCACCCCCCCTTCAAGTGGCACCCAGGGAATGTGCCATATGTACCAATACCCTAGATATGCCACTGGGTTGGCTAAAAGTTGGTTCAAGACAATCACTGACCTCAGTAGCTGCTTGCATTGTGAAGTGATTGATTCTCAAAGATCAGAACAAACACTCTAAAGTCAGTTTCAGTCAGTTTCTAACTGTTGATAAACACCTGCTGGTTGTTTACATTTGAGGGCTGTCAGGCTGCCAAGATTTTGGGGTAAAAGAAACTAATAGGGAAAGAGCTAAGATTTCAGTGCCTCTGTTGTGAACTCCGAAGATTTCTCCACAGTGTCCATAGCTATGGAGATGAATGAGTGTCAAGAAGATATAAATAAATTGGAGTCCATATTCTGGGAACATGTCCACTTTAACTCAGAAGGTTCAATAAATGAAGCCAAGTTTTTTTTTGCTATGAACTGTTGTCAGCAGTGCAAAATGGTGAACAGAAAATATACCCATCACAAAAATATTTTATTTTTCGGTTAGGAGACTTACTGTAAAATCCTGTACAGGCAAAAGGACCCAAAGTTTTTATATATACATACAGGTGAAACTCTAATAATTAGAATATCGTGCAAAAGTTCATTTATTTCACTAATGCAACTTAAAAGGTGAAACTAATATATGAGAGAGACTCATTACATGTTTTTTTGAGGTTGTGGATTTGGGGTTTTCATGAGCTGTAAGCCATAATCATCACAATTATGACAAATCACGGCTTGAATTATCTTGCTTTGCATGTAATGAGTCTATCTCATATCTTAGTTTCACCTTTTAAGTTGCATTAGTGAAATAAATGAACTTTTGCACGATATTCTAATTATTCGAGTTTCACCTGTACTAATCACTTAGGCCCCATTCACATGTAGCGACTTACCTTTGCAGCGGCTGGGATAGCACGACTTTCGGGGCGACGATCCAGCGACGGTAGCACTACCTTCTCCGTCGGGCTCCATAGAAAAAAGCAAAATCGCGCAAAATCCGCCGAAAAAAGGGTCCTGTAGAAGCGACCGCGGCGAGCGACACGGAGCTAAGACAGCTCCGTTGAATATCATTGGCCGGCGACTTCTCGCGATAACGCGCGGCAAAAATGCGCGATATCACGGCGGAAATCGTGTGATATATCGCTATGTGTGAATGGGGCCTAAATTGATTAGCTCACAAACCAGGTTTACAATGGCAAATTTGTCAAAAATTAGAACATTAGAAAGGAGCGATTCAATCTGCCGGCCCCTATATCCCTACGGTGTCCTGTAGATAG